GGTGACTTTGACCGCGAAAATGAGGGCCATAGAGTGAGATTTTTCAATGTTTTAAAACTTGAACTTATAGCCCTGGATGTTTTGAACATTTTCGGTTACTATGACTAAACCTAATTTTAACTCCAAAACCAAGTTTGAAGCCATTTTGTAAAAACGGACAATCTGTCCAACACAGTTTTAAAAAAAAACTGGCAGCCACTAATTCAGCCAAACGGGACCCTAAAAGGCTGAATTTCGATTTTTCACAAAAGTGACAATTTTAGATTTCGACGAGAGGAAGAAATTTCACGAAGAAAAGATTTTGATAATCCGACCCTAAGAGGTACTAAAACACAGATTCCCGAAACGGCACAGTTTTTGACTAAAACAGTTTCAGGAAAAATAGCAGCTACGGTTTTCAGCCAAACAAGGCCTTTAGAGGCCGAATTTAAACTTTCACCAAAAACGATAATTTTAGATCTCGACGAGACAAGGAATTATCGTGAAGAACAAAATTTTGAAATCCGACTCTAAGATACAGTAAAACGTAAATTCCAGAAATTGCACAGTTTTTAACGAGACAAAACTAAAACAGTGTCGGTTTCAACAAAAAGTCATAAAAGAACCCGAGATAGAATTTTAGTAAAATACAATGACATTAAACCTCATTTTAATGAAAGTATTCATAAAGGAATTTTTCAAGGAAAAATGATTTCTTTAAAGAACGTAGAGGTTTACCGACGAATTATCCCGACGGGCACCTACGAGCCCAATACGATAGGTCCGTAGAATTTCGAATATTTAATGTGGGTCCAACGCCCACATTAGTTTAAGAGACTCCGTTGGAGTATAAATTTCAACGGCGTAAAAGTTAGAATGCCATGTATAAGTCCTAGGCCGAATTGGGCCTTAATATCATACCAAGGGAAATCTAGGAAAATAAGATTTTGAAGATTTAATAAATTAATCTTTATTATCCTTTAGTAAAGGAAAGGAATATATGCCTTATGGAAATGGTTAGATTTTCCTTCATAAGTTGCTAAAATAAAATAGCAAATAATAGTTAATCTCACACTCTTAATGGGTGTTCAGTTTCAGAAGAAAGCAAGAGACTAGGCTGATAGGCGAAAAAGGGATTCCAGCTTTGAAAATCAAGTAAGTAGGAATCTCGCCTACAGTATAAATAGATTTTAAAGTAAACAGTACACATGAACTATATATGTTTGAGTACATTTAATGTTATGAATGCTATGCTATGTTATACTACATACACTTAGGCAGTACACCCGAATTATATGTGTTCGAGTACATGATATAGTATGCTATGCTAGGTCATATTGCATACACCTTAATAAGTCAAGAGGAACTTATAAGACTAATCTCAGTTGAGTGCCGTACCAGCCTCCACAAGGGAGGTAACTCAAGCTCCACAAGGGAGAAAAAAAAAAAATAATAATGATGTCCTCCGACTCAAGGGAGGCATTCAAGTTATAATCACGGTGTCATGGGGGACCTTGCAAACCCTCACGTTCCGATGATTGCGCGCAAGTGGTACGAGCACTCGGGCCCATCAGTAAGAAATATAAGATAAGATAATAAGATTCTGATAAGACATCATAATTAAGCATAATTGGCTCATGCATATTTATTCATGTGAACTTACAGTTATTTTGCGGGAGATAGTTTCTACTTGCTGAGCGAAAGCTCATTATAGAATGTTTATACTGTAGGTAAGCAACCGGCATATAATGCCTGATGGACTGCTGGCGAGTGGACGAACGATGTGGGGCTCGGGATATGGATACCGCTCGCAAATATTTCCGCAATCAGCTTTATGTTATAAATAGTTTTGTTAATTATGATTCTGAAACAGATATGTTAAGGTTTGAATATTTTAATTAAGAAAGCAATTTCGTATTTTATGTTTATTATAAGACCTTTAAAAAAAATGTTCCGTAAATTTTAAGAAATTTCAGTAAGTACAAGTTAAAAAGTTAGTTAAGTGGCGGCCTCAAAGGAGGGTCGCTACATAATGTTTCATAAATAGGAGACAACAGGAATTGGAGAGGTTGATTTTTCTCCTAATTTACTTTGTCTTGGCCGAATTCCCTAAGAGAGAAAATGAGAAGAAAAGTTCTTCCAATTTTGCCAATTCTTTCACATACATGCGTTGATAGTGAAAGAATACAAAATTAGCGAGTGATCGTTTTGATAGTTTTTACTTAGAGCCCACACTCATCATCTTCCGATATCAAGGAGTAGACGAGGAAGGCTTAGGTGTTCTAAGAAAGCTTTGGAGCGAGGAACGTTCGTTGGCCAAAGAATTCTAGGTTATCGTCCTAATCGTTAACAAGGTATTTATTATCTATTATTATAAATTAATAAGATTAATTTATTATTACATAAATTAATATAATCTATAGCGTATACAAAAGGTTTTGTGAAAATTTTTTGTTATAAAGAAGAAGAAGGAGAAAAGGGAAAAGGAAGACTTCTACTCAGAACAAAGGCTATGGATATTTTAGTCTTTTACTTTAAATTTTGTTTTACCCCATGGCAAAAGAAGTAAGGGCCCGTTCCCGTTTAGTTCGCTGATTCAAGTTTTTAATTTGAGTTGAAATATGACTTTATGTGAGAACTTTTTACTGTAGTAAAAAAGTTATATGTGACTATTTCTAAAAGCTTTTTACGGTAACAAAACTCAAATCGGTGAAATGAACAGGGCCTAAGAGTTTTTGTACTTATAGTAAAAGTTGATCCACTCTTTTTTTTTCTTTTGTGGTAGATAGAGTAAATATCTCCCTTTTTTTCAGAGTAACCTGCAATTTGTGGGTGTGTCGGGTCACTTAGTTTTGTTGCCAATAGTGTTGAAGTTACTATTAGAGTGCATGAGTATGAAATTTTTATCACTTACTCTTAATTAATACCTTTTATTAGACTAAAAAAAATATAAATCAAGAATAATGGGTAAAAATCTAGACCCATACACATTAAGGAGTATTTGTCTCTTTTCCTTTAGTTATTCTGATCATTTAGCGCAACACAAAACCCGAAAATGAATGAAAATTAAGAATAATTTGAAAGATAACTAAAACTACAATCTTAAAGCTAGCTAAACAATTTAGCTAGACTTCCTAATTCAAATAACTAATAAATAAATTGATAAATATTATGGTAATTATAATAGTAAAAGAACCACATTTTAAGAAAATAAAAAAATAATTGTACTCGAACTAAACAAAAATAACTACCAAAGAATGGAAGATTTTTTTTAATGTAAAACAACATTTCATTCACAATAAAGCAAATGGTTAAAGAAAACTTGATATAACAAACAAAAATTAATAGATTCGTTGGCGTCCTAGTATAGGGATCCAAAGACTGATGGTGGACATAATTTGGAGCACTTCTTTGTGCTCTTTTAATCCTCATTCCACAGTTGGCTCTCTCGAATGGGCTGCAACAAACTCTCTGTAAAAACCGATCTCTGAAAGCCAGTATTCTTCCAAATCAAGCTCGCCAAAACGGGAGATCTAACTAAAAGCATATAGAAGACGAAAAATAACACTAAACCCACCCACATCTAAACAACCAAGACTAACAAACAAAACCTACACAAGGTTGAGCTTGGTTGGGGAACACAACTAAAATCAATAAAAACAACCAAAACCCACACAGATTAGAGATTGGTGGGGGAAACAAATACCAACACTGGCGGAGTGATCGCCTTTATTCTACCTATGACTCAAAAAGAGAAGAAAATACTAATACGGACTCCACCATCGTGTAAATAAGTTAATGTAGAATGCATGGGTGTATTTTGGGAGGCGGCTTACCAGAGATGCGCTTTCGGTAGCCGGTCGGACTGTTCTCTTTCTTTCATGCTTTCTCTCTTTCAATAATCGCAGATTTAAGTTACAAAAAAAGAAAATCATAATCAAAATGAAAGGTAAAATTATAATTTTACTAAGCTTGTCCTACATTAGTTCCACTCTATTTAATTATCAATTACACTACTAAACATTGGGGAAGCATTCTGCTGACTAAGATTTTGACAATTAAATTTTTTAACTCTAAATTTTTCTTCAAATTTTAATAATATTTTTACTTTATAAAAAAATTTATAATTGTACATTCACTTAATAAAATTTGTGTCTTTATTTAATAAAAACTTTTGTCAAATTAGTGGAATTGGACCAAATACTAATACAATCTGGTTTTTAGATCATAAAAGTCAAACTTAAATGAGAAAAAATGTGCAAGCCACCTTCCAAAAAAAGAGTAACATAAAAATGTGAAATCTATAAAACTATAAGGTAGTGTCAGTTTATTACTGTTAAATTCAGTTAAAATCACATCATATTAAAAATATATATATAAAATAAACAATTATGATACATATTTAACAGTTAAAAATAGAAAATTACCGATAGTTCATTTTTTTAATCTTACGAGAGAAATTCCAAAAAAAGAATTTACATTCAATCAGCACATATACTATGTTGATTTCATTTTAAGACCTTTTCCGCGGCAGGGTTATTTTTTGATCATCAATCTAATCAAAATTATATTAAATTAAAAAGTATTTAAAATAGACATATTCTGGTATTTTTGAAAAAAAACAAAAAACAAAAGAAGTACAATTGCATGGACCACCAAAATGAAAGTCGTGTGCGTTATACTATTATATGTACGACAGGAGAAATCGCTCCAAATAAAACTTGTTTTTAAGTCAACGCGTAGAATAGCGAGTTCCCCAAACCATTGATCTGATTGATCTCCAACGCTGTTTCTCTTCCAATATAAACGGAGAAAGTGACGCATCTGTGAAAGGAAAATTCCACGATGATACTTTTTCAACAGCGAAAGAAAATATGAAACGAAAATGTGTGCTGAAAATAGGAAAAGAAAGGAAACAAAAAAAAAAACAAAAACAAAAAACAAAAGAGAAGGGCAGAGAGTTAATGAGAGAAAGAGAGAGGGAAAGATGTTAGGCGAAAAAGGCGGTTTTGAGTGCCAGTGGATCACGTGTCTTGGTTCTACTTTCAAACCTTCTTTTTCCCATGTATCGTCATTCGTTACCAAATAATAACTGCCTTTCTTTGTTTGTTCTTTTTCACCCTAGTTTTTTCTGGCCCCATTGTCTGATTTTCATTGAATTACTGCTAGATCTTTTTTAGGAAAATGACCAACGCTTAATTTCAACACTGCCCATCTCTCCAAAAAAGGGAAAAAAAAAAAAAAAAAAAAGGAACAACTGCCCATTTTGATCACCGTCACCATGCACGTTCTTTGTTATTGCGAAATTAATCTTTTGGTCTAATCTAAGCCCCACTTGGGTTGGTCATATATATTTTTTCCCCCTTGTTGGGTGTCTGTGAAAATCATTTGGCTCCTCAGAATTTTGATAAAAACCGAAAGTTTGTTTCACACAAATCTGCTAGAGAAACTTGACAATTCAATATATGATTATTGTTGGCAACACATATATATCATATAATGCTTGTATCTTTGGAAATGGAGTTCTTTTCCGTTGCTTTCTTGGGTTAGAAGCATCAGATGGATGATAATCAAAACAACAACAACAATAACATCAAAGATGTACCAATGGTCAGAATTCACTCCCATCAGGAGGTAATTTTTTTCTTTTTTCCTTTTTTTTTTTTGGGTGAAGTTGCTTCAAAAATAGATGAAATGAAAATGCATTTTCTTGTTGCAAATGGGATTTTTTCCCCCCCTTTCAGATAGGATCTTTAGGAGTTGAGTTTGAGGACCAAAGCCTATTTAGTCCCGAGTCACTTACTAGAAAGAAGCATTCTTTTCACGATCCTCTTCCTCCCCATAGATCCTTATCTTCCGGTGGTTCAGAAAATTGTTCTTCTCCTTCTCCTTCTTCTATATACATGAGGAACACTGTGGTTGAAAGCATCAAGATTGTGGTCTTCTCCTCCAAACTCAATTTGCTAATGATCTTTGGCCCTTTGGCAATCTTGGTTGATAAATTTTCAGGCCATAATGTGAGTTATTCTCTTTTCATCAATCTCTTTTTGTGCCATTAAATAAATTAATGTCTCAACATCATTTTTTTTTTCCACTTTCAAAAAAAATTTTTGGTTTTTTTTTTTTTTTTTTTTTTTTTTTTTTTTTTTTTTTTGATGTTGTTCTTTTTAATTTGCATTTCAGGCTTGGGTCTTCTTTTTGAGCTTAGTGGGCATCATACCTCTGGCTGAGCGTCTTGGTTATACTACAGAGTAAGTTTTATTGGATCTACCATTCAAATTCTACCACCAATCGGCTGGTGTAGCGGTTAGGATGTTTTTCTTTTTTCCTCTTCTTATCTTCCCGGTAAATGGACAGTATGGTGGTAGGAGTGAAACCGAGCCCGTCCTTTGAGTATAATTGTGTCATATTTTTTTTCCATTCCATTAGTAGGGCCCAACAGTTCCGCTATAGATAAACTAAATGGCAACAAGATTTCACCAATAATTCATTCTTATCTCAAAAAAGAAAGAATTTCAAATTATTGTTACTTTCACTAATACATTTTGCTTGAGTTTTTGATGGATGATGCACTTGACATATATGTCCTAGAACTGCTTTGGATGTTAACTCTAAACCAGGCACCGAATAGAAAGCCGAATAAATAAATAAATAAAGTAAAATTGTTAGTTTTGATTGATTGGCAAACTTTTTATTTTCACAAATTCTTGTTGATTAAGCAAGTATGTTGTTTGTTGAGTATCTAATACAGCTCTGGCTTGCCTTTTAATGCAGGCAACTAGCTTGCTATACTGGACCTACAAGTAATCCCTCTCCTTCATTCCTTTTTTTTATATTTCTGTCTTTTGGATTTTAAGACTTTTAAGTTTTTTGGTTTACACTCAAGTCATTGCAAAAAACCCTCAAGTTTTTGGGTTTATGTTGACAACTGAAAATTAAAATTAAAATTAAAAAAATCCCATAAGTTTTTTTCAGCACTAGTTATCTCATTATTAGATTGAATGCATAACTGAACAATTCTGAACTTTTATCTTTATATATATTGAATTCACTTGCTCTTTTAATCATAAAGAGTGGCTACTATGACTTGGGTCTGAGGATTGTAATGAAGGGACATTATATGAAGACACCAATTTAAGTATAGGCTAAAATGTACCATAATGTTAAGCTTTTTGTAACATTTTTTACCATGTCACATTGAGGACTAACAAGATACAAACAACTATTGGCACTAGCTATGGAACAGAGCCAAATTTATTGATAAAAAGATTTTTAAAATTTTTTTTATTAATTTTTTTTAATGGTCGTGTCCTTTAACTGGCTGATTTCATTTTTGCAGTTGGAGGTCTTCTGAATGCTACATTTGGAAATGCAACTGAATTGATAATATCCATTTATGCTTTAAAGAGTGGCTTGATTCGTGTTGTTCAACAGTCACTACTAGGCTCAATCTTGTCCAATATGTTACTAGTGCTTGGATGTGCTTTCTTTGCTGGTGGACTTGTACATTCCAAGACAGAACAAGTCTTCAATAAGGTATCTTCTTTCTGACATGGAGGAATTCAGGGTCTATTAAACTTGAGAATATTACATCAATTTTCTTTTCTGTCGATTCAGCTTATTTTTGCATTTTTACTGAAAAAAAAAAGGGATTGTTAGTGCCAATTTGCCCCTATCCCCATCCTCTATATAGAAGAAATCTCAGGGTCCACCAATAGAACAAAAGGGGGGCCTGTTCAGATAGGCCCCGTTTAACTCATAATATTGTTGCTCCGACGTTGCACAACCCATTGGCTGGACAGGACCTTTGATTGGTGCTACAGAGTAAACCTTGGCGCATCCTAAGAGGAGAAGAAAAGGAATCCTTACCGTTGCATAGCTCAAAGTGTTGTTTCTCTTTTCCTTTCAGGGAGCAGCCACAATGAGCTCTGGACTGCTGTTGATGGCGGTCATGGGGCTGCTATTTCCCGCAGTCCTCCACACCACGCGCACGGAGCTGCACTTTGGAAGGTCCGAATTGGCCCTCTCTAGGTTCACTAGCTGCGTCATGCTTGTGGCATATGCTGCCTTTCTTGTTTTTCAGCTGAAAAGCCAAAGTAACCTATACCTTCCAGTTAATGAGGTTTGTACCACAAGCATTTCTTTTCTTTCTTTTTTTTTCCTCTTTACTTTTTGCCTTCAACACTAAGCTCACAAATGTCTACTATTATCTACACTTCAACATTTTATAGTGTGTCAAGAAATCAAGTGTGGTGTAATTTTAATCAATTTTAGGTCTTGAAAGTTCTGTATTTTCTGCGCCTCTTTCTATGAACCAGGGAGAAGGTCAAACCGAAGGGAATTCGGATGATGAGGAGGCTCCTGAGATCTCTAAGTGGGAATCAATAGTTTGGCTGTCTATTTTGACTGCATGGATTTCAGTCCTCTCAGAATATTTAGTGGATGCTATAGAGGTAAAAACAACATATAATACAATGACATCTCCTTCAGTTATTTTTCCTTTGCATCTTTTGTGTCACTGCCACATTCTTGAAAGACTTATGATTTTCCTGCAGTTAATTGGTTTGTGTGACTTTGTTTTCAGGGAGCTTCTGTAAAGATGCATATTCCAGTTGCATTTATCAGTGTTATTCTTCTCCCGATCGTCGGGAACGCGGCAGAGCATGCAGGTGCAGTTATGTTTGCCATGAAAGACAAGCTGGTAAAGTGGTTCTCCTTCTCCAGTTAGCATTTAATGTTAATAGTGATAATTTCAAAACCCTCTCGACACGTGCACCCAATAATTTGTTCGTGTTAGTTTATCGATTTTTCTGAATGCTTAATTTGTCAGGAGGTGGGCTAGGATTTGTTTTACAATAATAGTGCATGCATGTTGCTTGACTTTTTGGGTTTTGTATTTGACTTAATGAAGTTTTGTTAATGCCTTGTGAAGGATATATCCTTGGGAGTGGCAATAGGCTCATCAACTCAGATAGCTATGTTTGGGGTGAGTACAGCAGCTTGAACGCATTAGCAGACATTCCCTTTTTAAAAATTCTTGTGCTAAAGAGCGTATTTCAAAATATTTATGGTAATATTTTAAAATATGTTATTTACCATAAATATTTTCAAAAAGTTGTAATTTAACTCTTTCTCTTAAAAAAAAAACATGGGACATGTTTGCTTCTTCATTCTCATAATGGGGTCTCATTTTTCACAAGAGTCATTTTCTTAATTAAGAGGCTTTGACATCATGCTCAAGCTTTATTGATATGGAACTTCTATTTAATAATAACATGCCTATTAAATTATGCAAATTGTTTTTTCTTACGACTTATATGAATTGTTTCTTTCATAAATCCTTTTTGTTGTTATTGATTGTTATGGCTGCAGATTCCCTTTTGTGTGGTTGTAGGATGGATGATGGGGCGTCCCATGGACTTAAATTTTCAACTTTTTGAGACGGCCACGCTTTTCATAACTGTTCTGGTGGTAGCCTTCATGGTTCAGGTTTGTCGATTCTTTCATTGAACCAAAAAAAGAAAAAAAAAAAAAGGGAAAAGCAATTACTTGATTACATATGGAATATTCATTACTTTAAACTCCCAATGCCGATAATTACCATGTAAATGCCTTATTGGGTTTTTACTGCATTACCTTGCATAATGCTTAGCAAAAGTTTATGATGGAAAAATGCATGAAATACATACACCTTATGATTTAGTGGTAGTGTTTTTTTTTTTTTTTTTTTTTAATGTTTTTTGGAATTTTTATTCACGCAAGATGAATTTGAGTTTGCAGGAAGGAACATCAAATTACTTCAAAGGACTGATGCTCGTTCTTTGTTACATTATTGTTGCTGCAAGCTTCTTTGTCCATGTAGACCCTCATTCAGTAGGTGAGTATCACAGCAGGATTTACACTTGTGATTTACCTTATAATATCACAATTGAGAATTTCACGTACGAGCCACTTAGGCCCCATTTGGTTTATAGGCTTAAACCCAATCATGATTCTGCTATAGTGTTTTCTCTCACAAAAAATTTGAATTTAAAAAGTTCACGCTAATAGGTTCTCCCACATTAAATGCAGAATCAAAATCACTAATTTAAACTCATAAACTTAACAGGCCCTTATATTTTTATACCGCAACAATTCGATCTCAAAAGGTGAACTGATTTTAAGAAAAATATATACAGCAAATTTTCCTGAATTTCTCAGATCGATGATAATTGTAAAAAATTTGATGGAAATACTCTCGTACACTTTTTATGAGCTCGTTTGATTAAAGAGATTGAAATTTTGAATAGACTGAGTACCTTATTTCATGTGCATGAGGTTATTCTTTCAAAATTTTAACATCATTCATCAATTCTATTTGGAGGCACCTTGCAATATTTTATTAAATTTAAAGAAAATTTGCTGTGAGTAAAAGTTCATGGAGAAAATTGTCAAATCAAAATATTAAAAAAAAAAAACAAAATGAAAGAATTTCTCTTTGCTTTTCTTTCCCCCACTCCTCACTTAAAATTGTTTTTTTACTTGATGCATGTTTTTGCAGCGGACAAGCACCCAAAACGTAGCCATTGAATACATTTGTGAATTTCCTGCACTGAAGGTATTAAAAGTCAGTGTAGATTGTTGTTGGATATAGTTTGCAGTTTCATGTTGACAGTGAGATAATAGGAATTAAAGAAAGAAAAAGAGTTGCTTTTGATGAAGATCTTACAAATTTTTTTCCCTCTTCGAGTTTTTGATGCCTATATATATATTGATTGTATATACACACATTAATGAGTATTCCATACTAATACATGTGAAAGACAAATATTTATTTCTCCTTGACATGGATTGTTTGTTTCAACACAACCAAAAGCTTTTGAAGCATTTCTGCTTGTCTTTTCTCTCTCTCTCTCTCTCTCTCTCTCTCTCTACCTTTATTTTATTTTATATTTTAGTTAAGGCGACAATGCAATGAGAGAATTTTTTCCTACAGCCAAATACATAAGAAATGTGTGGTAATCACTTGCCATCGAAGGAAGTTGTGGCAGTATGTTTGCTTTTCGTGGTCGATTAAAGTTGTAATAGAAAGACCATTAATTAGCGAAGATTAATTAATTTTTTAAGATATTATTTTGAGTATAATAAAAAAGTGAAATCGTGTTTAGTTATAATTATTAATTAATATATTATAACATTATTGATAAATAGATTAGAGAAAATAACTTTTAACTATTTTCTAATTCATTCACACAAACTATTTGCATTGTTTTTTGTTTTCGTTTTCATTTTCAAAACATTTACTAAACAAACACGAATCGTAAACCGCTTTCATTTTCATGTTTCAAAGGATGTGCAAGAACATTTTTAAAAACAATCTAAAACCAATTCGAAATGCACCCTAAATGTGATATATCTTAGCACTACGTACACAAAGCTATGAAGGCAATGTGTGAGCTTTATGCTTGTGGTTTTAGTTTATCCCAATTTGATGGTCGAAAATCTAAAGCAAAATAAATGCTTGACAATGAGTGAAAGATGCCCATATCACTCTTTCTTAATTGAGTATTTATTCTCTTTGATAGGTCCTGCTAACAGCGTTTTCCCTGGAGTGGGGCACCAATATGATATAAATAGAATATTATTTGGTGAATTAGAAAATACCACTTCTTCCCGGGTGGTTCTTTTGTACGTAATTTTTTATTGTAATAATGGTGGTTTTTACCCCATTATGTTTAGGTGTTTGCGTTGTTTCTTAGTGTGAGATTTTCTGTTAAGAGTTGTGTCTTGACAGTTTAAGGTGGTTTTTACCCCTTTGCCTCCATGGCTCGCGATCTCTGTTACAACATGTCACGATGGAATTGCGGCCTAAGTCGAGACAGGTTGAGCCTCAATCGCGACGGAGGTCCGGTGCAATGGAATCACGCGCTAAGTCACGGAGGTCGTGATGGAATCACAACCCAGGGTGGGTGGGTGGTGTGGCTACCTTGTAATGTCCCACCGTTGAATGCAACCCAAAACGACGGTGGTGGAGGTCCTATTTGTTTTTTGTTTTTTGTTTTTAGAGCTTTTAATAAATTTAGCGTGTGTAGGTTCACTTAATTAATGGTAAACTTGTTTATTTTCTAACATTCGATGCAGAATCTAATGAAAAAAAAAGGGCATCATGGATGAGGAAAAAGAACCTTCCTCATGGGAGTTTTCCTAACTAACATAAACATCCATGTGCAATAATAATGTGCATTATGCCCATAGTACTGAATATTCCAGCCAACTTGTCTAAAAGTATTTCTAAAAAGCGTTCTAAAATAGTCTTAAAATGTTATTACCATCCAATGTGTTTATCCTTGTCTACATTAATATCCACGAACCATTTACATAGACATGTTCAAATGTTTAGCGATATTATAACAAGTAAAAAGTATACAAAATATTAGTCATGTAATAGATGGTCATTCCCAAACATCATGTCTCGGTCTAATAATATAATCTCTGTTGAGTTGGTTAAGTTTTCTATCCATCACCGTCGAATCTGCATAAAATATTATAAAAATAAAAAAATATATAAATTCAACAGTTAAAATAACTTGACATATTAGTACGCCAGACGTATCAGATAATCTTTCTATATATAAATATATATTTATATGTGCTTATTATTGTTTCAACGTACGATTGCACATGCTAGCAGTTCGACGGCTTGCAGGTGATATGGTGCGGTTTTGAAAAACAAAGGTCTGAGAGAAACTCAGGCTAGGACCACCCATTAGGCATGCCGGCAGGCGGTTTGGTTTATTAGCCTGCGTAGGCCTTGCTTAAAAGAGCTTAAAAAAAAAGAAAAATATATTTAAAAGTAATTTTGTAGTAATGTTTTTAATACAACCATTATATTATTGTCTTTTAAGGAAAAAAATAACCAAATATCAAACAAGCACCATTCATATTTATGATAGAATGATAGAATCATCATTATAATACTTATTAAAAAGAGTAAAAATGTCAACGTTGAACAACAAACATAACTATAATATATAATTGAGAAAATTTCATTTTGGTATCTTCTATTATACGGAAATTTGAGTTTGACATCTTTTGTTTTTAAAAATTTCATGCAAGCACCTTAATCTTTTAGAAAATCCATTTTTAGTATCTCGGAGTCATTTTTTGGGACATAAAAAGATAAAAATACCTTTATTGTAAAAATTCATCCGTTGACTAAAATTTTGAAGAAAAAAAAGATTTTAAAAAAGATTTTGAAGAGATAATTTTTTAAAAAAAATTTGTGCTCTACAGGTATAACAATTTTTTAAATCTTTTTTTTTCAAAATTTTAGTTAACAGATAAATTTTTAAAATAAGGAAAATTTTGTCTTTCTGTGTCTTAAAAATGACTCTGAAATACTAAAAAAAGATTTTTTAAAAGCTCGCGGTACCGTCATGAAATTTTCAAAAATAGAAGGTACTGAACTCAAATTTTAATATAAAAGAGGGTACCAAAATAAAATTTTCCCTTTTATAGTTCTTAACACACATTTAATTAAAAACAAGTAAACCTTAAGAAAAAAATCGTGTCATAAATTCATAGCAAACAAATGTATAATCCCATAAATTATGGAGAGGTTAACGGGGCACAATGGTTATGAAAAATTCATAATTTGACGATTGATGACACGATGACATGACACAAAAAGATGAGACGAGACAATTTAGCCAGATGGGCAGCTAGCACTTACAATTTAGCGTTAAGGACATGATATAAAAAAGGTGAAACGTGACGGGTGTATTTAAAATTCGTTTTAAAATAAATTTATTTTTTGTATAAAAATAAAAACGAAAATATTTTCATTTTTATTTTGGAATCATTTCTAAAAATGCGTTTGGTAGTTTTATTCCGAGATTATTTTCAGTTTAAAAAAAACTGAAATTGTGTTTGGTGGTTTAATTTTTAAAAACATGTAATAATATATTAAAATAATAATATATTAAATAAACAATAATAGTAAATATATTAAATAAACATTATATACATGAAGAAATGGGTTTTGGAGGAATCTCTGGAATTTTCTGATCCGGAGTCGAAGAGGCTGCGATCGTCGTCGTCGCCGCCAGAAAAGAAGTCGTCGTCTAGGGTTCCGACTCTGGTGAGGTGGAGGAAGGGGCGGCGGTGGAGTCAGATGAGGAGGGGGGTGGTTAGGGGCAGCGAGGTCGAGGCGGGAAAGGAGGGGGAAAATGAAAATGGGAAATCAGAGGAAAGGGGGGTTGAGGGAGATCATAGAAGAGGGGGGATCAAGGGAGATCGGAGAAGAGTGTGT